TGTGTGTATAAAGTATGACATCAGCTAGAAGTTACCAACAAAATGATCAAAGGAGGATAGTTCTTAGCCACAGTCCAGATAATCAATAAGTGGACAATCAGAACGTAACACCCATAGTTTATAGTTTGTCATGCATATAAGTAAGGTAGATTTTCACTTAGTTGTCAAAATATTAGTTTCACATGAAATATATTTGTTTTGTCATTGTATTGTATATTTTAAAAATCAGACTGTCCACAAGTTAATTACATTGTCGAGCAAGAACCACCGACAATCTCAGAAAGCAAGGGCTATTTCTTATCGAATGTAGTGCCGATCCTATACCCTCATAAGCTCCTCGAGTCAAGAGGTACAATACTATTCCACCATTCTGATTTTACCACTAGATGCCTTTCTCATCACCGTTCGTATCACCAAAACCTTCAATTTACAACAGCTCGATGACCTATATGTGACTGTATTTTAAATATCCCCAATTGTCCACAAGTTTCTAAATACAATATCCAAGACTCATACACTTAAACATTGGGTTTGATGTAAGCTAAGTGGTGACAGGATCATTTCTACTAATGTAAGTTAATTTAAAGGGTCCCGGATCATATCTTAGTGGGTCCTTAAAGATTTTAGTTTTTTATTTGGTTTTAATGGTTGTTATATTTTGAGGATGATTTTCCTCAACAAATTGTAGTAAGCCCAAAGGTTCTATAAAATATTCAAAATCTCATAAAAAAATTCAAAGTTAACTCTAAATAAACTTTAAAATCTCCCAGACTATTTCAAGTTCATAATTGGTCTTGTTATAATGTTGAGTGATCAACTTGTTCAAATTGTGCATTGTCATCTTTTGAACTGTGCTCAGTGTTTTTGTCAAATTGTGCATTGTCTTGCTATAATGTTGAGTTGATCAACTTGTTCAAATTGTAAATTGTCTTTCTATAATGTTGAGTTGATCAACTTGTTCAAATTGTAAATTGTCTTAATCAGCCTAGAGTAAGGGTATTGGTCAATTCTTAACATTATGTTAAAGATACATATGGATAAAACCTTAAGGGCACAACTGCAAAGAAATGAGAAACTTACACTCTTACCCATCAATTGAATTTGAGCTTGTAGCATTTTAAGATGTTCCATTATCACTTTTGTTTTATTCTTCAATTAATGCTCAAATGATATTAGATGAATCCTACTTCACTACCAAGCTCTTTAAGTTTAAAGGTAAACTTATGATTTTCTTGGAAAGTTTGTAAATTGTGCTTGACATTTATTGAAGGGTCGAATTTGGCTTAACCATTGATTGCGGACTCAAAAATCAGTGAATTACTAACCTTATAACTCATCCTTGTCACTCTTGGATCATCCAAATTCTTGTTTCTTCCTAAACACAATAATTCAAGTGATTACAATTTTATCATTTTATAGAAAAGTCATAAATGGATTACTACCTCATTTACCCTTTGTGTTTCAATCACTTAAGTAGGTTAATCATCTTAATTTAATACCTTTCCCTTCTAGATTAGCCTAAAAATTTGATTAAATTAGTGTAAGGGTGCAAAATTCCAAAATTAAAATTATACTCTTATAGTTTACACCCGATAACTTTTTATATTTTTAATCAAATGACCATGAAACTTTATTGGCCTCTTACTCATGAACTAATTAAAACATCAAATGAGAAGTCATATATTTTTTAACTTCTATTTTATTTTTTATGATTATTTTAATTCATAATTAAGAATTTTCAATGTTAATTAATTTAATTACCCAAAACATGTTCTTTGTCCTTAAGGAAATTTTTAGTTGTTGCTAAAAATCAAAGGGTCACTTAGTGCAATTTTCTTGATTCTTAAGAACTGTCCTCTCTTAGAAGTTAGCAGGTTATACTCATTGTCTGATGCTCACAGCAGGAGGTTGTTCGTCGGATTGCTTCCAGTCCACCCTGATCCTTCCACCACCAGTAAGAAAAGAAAAAGGCCCTATTTTTCTAAAGGATTTGCTCCATGTTTGAGAAGCTTGCTTGAAAAGAAAAGTGCTTGATTTCCCAAGTCTTGCTCAGGATGGGATGTGCAGTATCACCCCAGATGAAAAAAGTGATCCTTAAGAGTGAAAGACCAAAGCTTAAGCATCGCAAGTCAGACATGCCCCAGGTCTCCGCCAAACTCCATTTGGGGGACTGATAAACAAATGACATTTCATCAAGACTTTCTGCCAAGCTTCATTTGGGTTCCAGGATACTAAATGGTTCCACCATTCCAGAAAGACATGTTCGTTCCCCCACCAAGACAAAATCGAAACCTTGTCAGACTTTTCTACCGAAACATGTAAAATTGTTAATGAAATCCAAGAAGGCATCCAATAGCATGAACTCGCTCGTAAGACTTTTATTAGCTGGGGATCATACCCACCCACGACGCATTGACATGCTGCCAAAGGCATCTCGCCGCATACTCAAAAAATATTGTGTGGAGGCATAAGCCATTAGAGCAAGTCGCCGGCGTTGAGAGGTTTGTGACTCCCGAGTTTAGTCCACAAGATGAGAATCGACAAACAAATCAACTGAGATCCATCGAAGAGAATTTGAAAAAGTCAAGAGCCGGTGTGAGGCAGTTATCAGAAGACCGAGGAAGGAACTCGGTTAATGACATGGATGAGGAGTTCGTTGAGGTCAACATGGTAGAGACACGCCCCACTTCATCTTCACGAGAAGTGTCGCCATCAAATAATGAAGATGTTACGGAAAAAAACAAAGGACAATACAGCAAAGAGTCAGTCGTCTCGAGAAGAAGGTCGAGGAAATGATGGTTGCTTTGACAACCCTGCATGTTTTCCACAAGTGCCACAGGTACCGCCTATTGAGGTTAACCGACAAGAGGTTGTCCAGGTTGTTGACGACAAAATAGAATCAACTGAGATCGATGAGGACAATTAAAAGAAGAAGGATTCCGCCTAGAGCATGATTCTGGAGAAAAATATTACTCAGTTGGCCGAACAAAGATTAAAGAAACAATGCCTCAGGTGAGGGCTGGATCATTAGTTCCGAGGGGTAGACCCTACCTAGAGGAATTCAATTCCATCCAATATCTTAATGGCTTTGTACCACCTCTTTTAAAGGTTTTCGATGGGAAGAGGAACCTATGTCAGCACGCTGCGCACTTTCGAGCAAGTTGCTGCAATGCAGGGGGTTGTGAGCTCTCATCTTCAACCAGTTTGTCAGCAGCCTTACCTGTGCTGCTTTTGGTTAGTATGTATAGCTTCCTAATGGGTCTGTTAAGACTTTTACGAATCTGAAGATGAAGGGTTGAGTCTACAGGCTCGGGTTGTAAGGGTTTGCCTATGATGCTCACCTCTCCACCAGTACATTTGTGGTTTCTACCACTACCGTACCAGATGAGGAAATTTCCAGAAGTGATGTGGCATTCTCTGCTGAGAGGAGGCCCGCTTCTCTCAGATGAGATCAGAGCTAAAGACCAACATGAAGGCAAAGTTGAAGGCTGAGTTGGATTCCTTCAGGTAGCAGATAAGGGAACATGGCAATGTAGCATTAGCATTGGAGGAGGAAGCGGCAGAGGATGATGAGGATGAGATTGACGAGATAATGGAGGTTAATTAAGAGGGGCATTTTTTTTTTAATGTTTATGTACATTTGGACATATATATATATATATATATATATATATATATATATATATTGAACAGCGATATACTTGATTTAAAGTAAATGCAATCTATTTATTTATTATTTGATTGGATAATTTACTGTTTGACAGCTATGTTATTTTGTTAAATGTTCGAAATTACATAGTAAATATTGTGGTAATAGGTGCGGTACTGTAAATATGAAAGAAAGAAATTTTTTTTTTTCTTATACTACAGGTTTTTGAGGGCTTGCCGTCGATTTTACGACGATTCCAAACTCAAAACTGACTGCTAGCTGGTGAACATTTTTACCGATGTTTAATCGACACATAACAAACGACATAAGATGCGTCACACAAAAATGACGAGCGCAACACTTTTCCAATAATTAACCCGTCGGTTATAAAAAATAACTCATAAATGACATTATCTGATAGTTTTACCTGCGTCAAAAAACTGATGGTGTGACACTTTTTCAATTGTTAACCCTTCAGTTTTAAAAACGACGCATAGTCGACAATTTTACCTGTTTCAGAAAACTAACGGGTGTGACACTTTTCCGACATATATGTCGCACTATTACCGACAGATCAACCGGTCGTTACGATTATCGATGACTCGAATTTTCTTATAAAAAACTTCGACATTAAATCATCGGATAACCGTCAATACATTTATACTGTCGGAATATCGATCGGTTTTGAAATTACCGACAAGCATTTTACTTACAAGTTTAAAACCGTCGATAACATTAAAAACAATGAGTTTTCTTTTCATAACTGACGGACACAGTCCGTCGAAAAAAACTTAAATTTCTATTGTGCAATTTTGTGATTAAAAGCCAAGAAGGAAGTGCGTTGAGGTAACCATTTTCCTATAGCGGTGTAGTGTTTGTTGAATGTTATTAATAAATTATTGAAGATGTGGCCTCTCTTATATTCAATATCTAAAAATTTGGCTTTCTTGCCCAAGCAAACAATAGAAAAAACCAAAACTTCCTCTTCTTTTTAAAGTTTATCTTATGCTAGAAATCTTTCTACCAATCTAAATATGAATAAACTTTGAACAATAAAGATTTCAACAAGGACTTTAACTATTAAAGTTTTAGATATATATCTTATAGGTCAATATACATTTAAAGATTTCCCATAAAAAATATCTCAATTAGAAGAGGTTGTTTTTTACAAGGAAAGTATACCCAAACCCAACAAAAATCATTGAATTTTGAAATTATTTGAACCCCATACATAATCTCATTACTAAGCCAACAATCATAATACACCTTATTTTAAAAGAATAACAAAGCCATCCTCATTTTTTTAAGAAGAAAATAAAGTTATCATCAATCTATAAAATATTTAACCTGATAAGAGAATCTTACCCCCTTTAAAAAAACTTACCCAATATATTATAATGACGCTCACCAACCATTTGCGGACTCAAAATGAAAATTTTCCCTCCGATTAAATTCCTCTGAGTTGAGATTTTTCTTACTCGTCCGCCGACGAAAGCAGACATCGAAGCGGTGTCCGTGTCGGTGCCGCCACCCTCCGCCCTCTGCTGTCATATAAGACAGCACCTGAGAACTCCAGAGGCTGGCACTTCACTCCCATCAATATAGTCTTTTTCCACAAACCTTCCTCTACTTCTTCTCCTTCCTTTTCTTCTACTTCTTCTTCTTCTTCTTCTTCGAAATCATCCTCCTTGACCATCCTCCCCATTGCATACTTCGACAAGCCGTTCCTCCGGCTACAGCCGGTACATAGTCGCCTCATACCATTACTCACAAACTGAACAATGAACCGTCCCGACGATAACCGCGAGTCATAATCTCGGCCTGCCGTCGCCGATCTTAGCCGCCGTGCGGCGCCTGACAGGTGCCGCTGATACGTGGCCATAATCTCCGTACCCCTTTCCATCAATTCGTCGGCAAAATTATCCCGACGAATCCAATGTGCCGATATTTATATCCGAAATCTGCGCGAGAAAATTGCAGAAAAAACTGATTTTGGATAAACAAGTGGGTGGTAGATTTTTTCAGGTGATGATGCAGATAAAAATTTGCATTTTTTTTACTGCGTCAGCACAAGGGCTTTGGTTAGGGGAAGGTGAACGGTTTTGTGGGCGTGGCGTTGGGTAGTTGGCAAACCTTAAGAGAAGTTGTACGATCAAGATATGTCAAGGCATACAATTAATAAACATTATGCATATTACTATAGATAAAAAAGGGATATTTTTCTTACATATGTCGTGAGAGAGAAAGAAGATCTTTTTCCAAACATTTGTCTTCTTGTATATAACCTTGGAGGTGTCCTCCCTGAGCAAAGGTGCAAAATTTGACCAGAAAGTACAATGCAGCATACAAAAATATATTAGTTAACGAGCGGGTTAATATTGTCAAGGGCAATATGTAACAATTATTGTCAAAATGCTCATTAATGGGGCCTGACTGAAAATCTCTCACCGATTGGGTTTGCTAAGACATAGAGTCTAGTTCATATTAATGTAGTCCCCATTACTGAAAACATGAAGAGCTTAAGGAGGAGAATCGGTAAAAAGAGTCTCTTGATGAGCATCAACAAATTTAGCAAGCCAATCAGTACGCACATTAGCTTCCCTAGGAGTGAATGACTATTTAACAAAAATAATTCTAGCCAAAACAGTGATGTGTTTAAAAATAAAATGGAACTGTCATGAGGGATCAGCTAAGCCACAACACTTCCAAAGAACAAAAAAAAAAACCATTTCAATAATCACATTAGTCCAATGGAGTGTAGTGGAAACTCTAAATGTAGATAGAGCAACATAGACTTCAGAAGTCAAAGAGGAAACAGACTGAAGAGGAGCACCAAAGACCAAAAGAGCTTTAACCACATAATTCCTACAGATACCACCGCAACCAGCAATATTGGGAGAGTAACTCCCTTCCATATTAATCTTAACCCAATTAGTAGGGGGTTAGTTCCAGAAAAACAGAGAAGGTGAATTCTGATGAACATTGTTTTTAGAAAAAATAAGACCATAAATAACTTTAGCAAATGGATTATCCCTCGGCTTACCATACAACTAAATTTTTTGGATATGAACACTTACTAGAGAGAAGACAGTCAGTCTTGGGAGTTCTCTGAACATCGTTCTGTTTATGTTTCATATCATTTCTAGTCACCCACAGAGACCAGCTTGTAATTAAAGGAAGGATTCTAAGAAGCACATTAGACATTTTAGAGCAGTCATTCCACCAATCAAAAAGACTTCTATAATTATAACTAATCAACTGACCCTGAAAAAACTTGATTAAAAGAGACAAAAAATGCTTAGTAAAAGAGCAGCTATGGAAGAGATGAGGGATAGTCTCCACATCAGACCTACACAATATGCACAATGATGGCAAGAGAAATCCTTTGAGTTTCAGGATATCATCAGTTGGAAAAAAATGATTGTAATATATTCCAAGAAAAGAAGGAAATGGATGGTTTCAAGTTGATAGACCCCATTTATTGAAAAGGAGAAGTCCTTTGTTGATGAGATTAATCAATTTTAGTAGAGATCACCTTGGAGTAAGAGGTTCCCACTTTACCTTTAAAAATCAACTTATCAGTACACTCCAAATCAAGGGGAATTTTCTCTACAAAAGCAGCATCCTCACTGTTCAGTAAGACATTCAGCTTAGCATTGTCCCATGAACCATTAGTCCATAAGTCACCATTACATTGACATTAAAAGGATTCCCATAACAATTAGCAAGAGGTCCAAGAGAGGACTAGTCATCTTTCCAAAAACTCATCTTGCCACTGCCCAATTTCCAAGTAATAAAGTCGTTATCCTCACATCTATGCAATAACATCTTCTTTCAAACTATAGAATCAATTATTTGAGTAGAAACAAACATTTGAATAGTATTTCCTCTTCATCAGGTTAGCTCATAAAGAGTTACCAGCTCTGAATTTCAACCATAATTTAATAAAATTAATTTTCATAGAATTTTGTAATGATCTGATCCCAGTGAATTTCTCCCCTCATTATAGGTCTAGAAAGCTTCCTCCACTTAACCCAATGAATATAAGAACATTGACCAGCCCATAGAAATTTGTTAAACAACCTCTCTAATTTAGTAATAACTGTCTTAGACATCTTGGCCACTTGAATGGTATAAAGAGGTATGGAGGAGAGAATACTTTTGATTAGAGTAAGCCTATCACCATGACATAGAAAGTTGTTTTCCCAAAAAACTAAGTTTGTTATTTATATTACCAAAAACATCATAAAAAAGTCCTTCATTTGTCCAACTAAACATCAAAAAGTCCTTCATTACCAAAAACGTCATCAAAAAGACCTTCATAGTCTCCACATCATCCAGAATGCCCCGAAAGATACTATTAGAGGATGTTTAAGCTAGGCTCGTTCATTTCTCCAGCTAAACTACATTACTTTCAAGAACACTTGTGTGCTTAGATCCTTAGTTTTCCATGGTTTCACGATGTTGTCCTTCGAGCATTTTGGCACCATTTTCTCTCTATTTTAGGTGTGAAATAGGGTTAATGCTATTTTCTCAACGTCTAACTGCTATTTCAGCCCGTGAGTAGGCGCACACCATCTCCATTTTTTTGGCAGGAGTCTGCATAGTTTGATTTGACTGGCATTAGATGTTTCCTTTTTTTACAACATAGTGTCGAATACATATGAGTGCGTCGTACTGGTATTTCAGCCTCACAACACTGAGTGCACTTTGCTTTCACCTAAGCCAAAGTAAGGATACTAATCCCGACCTCACGACATTGGCTTCTATTTATTAGTCCAGTGCAATGTATCCTATTGACAAGAATACAACCCTACGATCTCAGAACTCGAGTCAAAACACTGGCATTTCAAATTTTGACATCGGGAGTGCTTATCCTTGTTCTGTCGCATTGTAAAGTGATGCACCCCATTATTCATAGTGCAATGAATATAGAACATCTATTGATTAGTTAGTTCCAGTTTTAATGGATTGAGGTCATCATATCCAAACATTTGGAAGTTTGCAAACATGATAATCTCCTTTTTGGTCATTAATACACCCTTCCGTATGGGTGGCACCTACATTGATTTTTTAGGACTCTTCTTTCAATACAGTTTGGTTATCCAAGACAAATGGGTCTCCCTTTTTTGGAGATGACTGACCTAGGGACTCGACCTCCCAAACTGTTGGTGATTCTGCTGATTAGTTGGCGGGGCTTATGTCAGTCTCATAACTCATCCATGAGACCTTCTGTAAGCTCATTTTCTTGCATTTTTATCTCTTATGGATTTACTAGTGAGGTGTATGGAAAAATTTTTAATTTCTACCACTTCTTGAATCATTTTTATATTCAAAAATAATCTATTTGACCAAATTTATGTTTAGAGTAAATTAAAAAATAATTTAGCTTTTTATCCTTTTGAGATTTAATGACCCTTTTATCATTCCATAAGAATACCTTATAAAATAGGTTCTAGAACATGATATTCCTCTTTATCAATGCTCATGGAAAGATCTCCGACTTCGATAAATTGATTTCATTTCAAGATAATTGATATTTTTCAATCTCTCTCGAGTTTTTTTAATATTTATTCGATGATTTCTGTTATTGTAGTATTCTATTTGATAAAGGCGAGATTTATAAATAATATGATTGTTGAATAATCGATGATTTGCAACAATATTCAGTCCAATTAAAGCATTACATAAGTTTCAAAAACATAATAATAAAGTTCAGAAGCTTCGAAATTGATAATTCACATACCATGCACTCCTCCACCTTATAATTATAGCTGATAAAAATTTGTTTTATTGTTATAATTATTACTTTTATTAAGAATATTGTTGTATAATATGCACTGAAAAACGTGAAAATAATCAAACATCATAAAAATGGGCACCAAACTACGTAATTTAGGATTAAAAAAAATAAGATAGTTGACAATTGAATTGCCACACATGAATAATTAAAACTATTCTAAAATTTATTCTAAAATAGGACACATTTAGAATAAAAAAAAAAGAAAAAAAATAGTTTATCTAATGAAATTAAAGGTGCTGATGATGCGTTTAATATGAAACCACAAGCTCCTCCCGAGAGAACAAAATGCGGAAAAAATGTTCCGTCTCCCACGAATAGTTGAGTTAATATTATGGTCATTCTTTTTTTCAAATAAAATGTCTTTTTCGAGTTCATCTTCCAACATTTTCACCTTTTGTTGATCAATATTGTCTGCATCGTTGTCAGTGATGTAAAATGTTCCGATGGCCAAACAACCATCTTTTGCAAACTCTGCTGTTTTGAATGACATGTTATTTTCTCTCAATTTTCTGCTCATGACTGATAGGAGACCGTGCCGGTCAGAAGTGTGCACCTCCATCTTCAGTCCCTACATTTATTAACAAATATGCATAAATTATGCATGCTAGGAAAACATATTTTTATTAATAAAAAAATACAAATATCTTTATTTACTCTAGACATTCTCCGCTCAACAGCTGCTGCCAAACTTCGAATCACATTTTGTTCCTCAATCTCATTGAACATTATATGTCCATTCATCCCTCGCACAAAATATTCCTGCATTGCAAAAAATAAAAAAATGTAAATAATTCACCGATTGAGATCGCTTTAAAACTTTGAGAAAAGCTTGCAAGTTTGATCAAGGCATAAAGAACCATCATTCACTTGATGAATTCTGAGAGGTTCGACTTTGAAATCCACCATCCCGGCAAATCCATACGGAATAGTGACTACATTAGTTGTTGCAAGAGTATAAGAAGGATTACGAGATAGGACCGCCGTCATAGGGTGATCAGCTGAGTTTATCTAAGTTTATGGATGTTGGAAGCAATTGTTGGAATGTCGACAAAAGTAATGAAATACTATGTCGGCCACTCGATTGAGAACTGAAAGGAAAAAAAATTACTTGGTTGTGAATGTAAAGAGTAAGGATAGACTTAAACTCATGTTTGACACAATATGTGCTTTTACAGATATGGGCTATGATATGCTTCAAGGCCTTGTCAACTATCATGAATCAATGGCATTTCAGGTGATTGATGAATTTTGAATTTTGAATTATCTATTATGAAAATTATTTACATTTTTAATTTGTTTCAATACAAAAATATTTTGTACGATGAATAAACAGACATACAATACCCAATCAGTTTGAGAATATAGCGTGATTCAGAGTTTGACAGTAACTATTGAGCGAATAATGTCTCGTGTATATAAGGATCTTTGTACTTTTTTTACTAAAAAAAATGTGTTTTTTTAGCTTAATCTATTTATATTTGTTAATAAATATAGGAATTAAAGACGGAGGTGTCCACTTTTAACCAACACCGTCTCCTTTTAATAATGAGCAGAGCATTAAGAGATAATAGAATATCATACAAAACAACAAACTTCTTCAAAGATGATTGTTTGGCCGTTGAAGCGTTCTACATCACCGATGATTACTTAGTAGTTGGAGTGCTCTACATCGCCGACATCTTATCGTCCATCAATGTAGACAATATTGATCAACAAATGTTAAAGATGTTGCACAAAGAATTCATAAAAGATATTTTCTTTTAAAAAAGAATGATCATAATATAAGCTCACCGATTAGTAGGAGATGAAACTATTCTATGCATTTTTTTTTTTTTTTTTGGGGGGATTTTGAGGTCCCACATAAAACACATCTTCAATGCTTTCAATTTCTTCATTAAATTAAAATTTCTTCTCTTTTTTTGTTCATCAATTACCTCTTTTTTTCCTCGAAATAAATTTATAATATTTTTAATAATTATATTACAACAATTCAATTGTAATATAATTTTTATTCCTAACTGGCTTATAGACTTAGTTAGTGCCCATTTTTATCCTATTTGATTATTTTTAAGTTCTTCAATGCAAATTATACAAACATCCCTAATAATAATAATAATAATAATAATAATAATTACAAGAGTTTATCAGCATTTGAATGTTCTGCTTTTTGAAATTAATATTTAGGCAAAAAAATTGGACTGAATAATGTAACAATGATGCATTCATTAAAAGGTGTTCGTGTAAGGGGGTGTAGCTAAATACGAGTGTGCTCATGCTTACCTTGAGTTCAACTCATTGGAAAATATAAATGTTTGTAATCTACTTGTTTATATTTCAAGCAGAAAAAAAGGTGTTCATGTTGGGCTCGTCTATTTGGCGAGCCGAACACGAGTTCGCCAACAAAATGTAGTTTTGACAATCTTGGTGACTTAGCTATAGGATGTTAAGGGTTGGGGCGAGATTTAAATTTTATTATTTATATTAAAACATCATTTAAATATAATTTAATAAGTTTTTATTATATTTTTTAATTATTGATTTTAATTGATTATAAATCTTTTTAGCATTGTAGTTAAATAATTTTTGTAAAAATTTTACTCATCCTCTCTCTACTATATATATATATATATATATATATATATATATATTGTTATTTTGAGCCAAAACAAGTTGAACACAAACGAACAAATTTTTATTTGTTTTCTGCTCATTTATATATCGAGCACAAAAAATTTGTTCGTGTTTGACTCAGTAACTCTGCAAATGAATCGAACACGAGTTTTTTAACGAGCGGAACGAGCTATTCACGAATAACGAGCCGTTTTCACAGCCCTTGATCTAGCTCTTTGGCGATACTGTTGTGTAGTGATTGTAGAAGAAATTATTTTTTAAAAAATTATGATGAATATTATAAATTAATTTAATTTTAACATTAATTTTTATCGAGAAATTTATTAAAAAAATAATTTCTCAAATAGAATTGTGGTGGCGGTCTGAAAAGCAAAGCAAACAGAAAGATGTTCAAAACATACCAATATAATAGTTAAATTTTAATTCTTTATAAAATTATTAAAATTTTATGTTTGCTTATGTGAATTTTTTTTTATTTTTAATAAGGGCAATGAATATTAGATTATATAGAAATAAAAATAAATTACTTTTGAGTGAAATATTATATTATAAAGAAATAAAAATAAATTTTTAATAACAACAAGCTACATTTATTCTGCGAGTAAAATATTAGTGTTATTTCTAGAGTCTATAAAAATGTGAAAATAGTCTCCAATTATTTTTACATGTTTTGATTTTATATTTAAAAATATATTTATTAATTTTTATTTATTTGATCATTATCTTTATTTTTTAGTTTTCTTAAAGAAAATTTCAATTACATTAAAGTAGTGTAAATTGCATTTTATTTCCTAATTACCACTTCATTGACGGAGAGTAGATAACACTGCATTTTGATTCTAACAAAAGCAAACATCATCGGTGAACTGAAATTAGATGGTAAGATTTACAAAAATACCACTCAATTCCTATGTATTTACATACCTGACATCTATGCTTCCATTTTTACATGCATACCATCATCCATGTGCATGAATAGTTGTATGTCACCTTTTAAGCAAGAATTTCATGATGAGGTGCATTGTATTTAATACATAAATACAATGCAGCTGATTCAAAGTCCTATAAGACGGACAAGTAAAGAAAATTAAACATTACCTATTAAGATATAAATCGAAGTAAATGAAATCATTTCTTCAGTCTAAGATTGGGAACTGATATTTATTTCATTGATTTGGTTTAATATTATTTTGACTGATTTGATTTAATTTAAATCAATTTCATACTTCTGCAAAATTTTGATAAACGATGATTTCATACTCGTGCATGACTTTTCACTTGCTTCGAAGACTATAGACAAAATAGAAATTGTATTGTAACTACACAAATTAGTAGCTAAAAGATTTATGTGTTTAGGTAATTGCCGAATAGAATAAATAAACTACTACAAATGGTCTTCGCTCAAGAAATAATGAGAGAGAAAAAAAAATTATCTAATGAAACTAAATTTTCCACTGAGCTAATGTTGCAATCAGTCTTTCTTTCAAAGTAAACGTCTTCACCAATCTTATTGCAAACAACGTCTAGTCTTTGTTGATCAATAACGTCAGCATTGATCGACGATGAGTCGTCAGTAATATAAAAAGTACCAACAGCCAAACAAACATCTTTAGAAAATTGTGTTGTCTTTAATGAAAGATTATTCTCTCTTAATTCTCTGCTTATGAGTGCAAGCAAACCGTGTGGATCAAATGTGCGCACCTTCATCTTTAGCACCTTCACTCATTAACAGATATACTTATATATATTCATTAAGCATGCTAACAAAATTCCACTTTGACAAAATTAAAAGTATAGTTCAAATTTATAATTAAAGATTCAAAAATCAAAGTTGATTAAATACCTGAACTGCCACTGAGTCTTTGGTGCTAGTAAAGCCTTGAAACACTTCATAGTTTAAATTCGTGAGGGCACATAATGTATCATACATTAGCTTGGGTCTATCCTTACTCTTCACATTAACAACCAAACAATCTCTCTCCTTCCAGCTCTCAATTGATACCTGAGATGGACATTCTGTTGTATTATCTTTGTCGGCTATCTCATAATCTTTATATTCTTGCAATAGCTGGTGTAGTCGCCGCTCTGTGTGGATCCGACATGCTAAAGGATTTCGTAGTCTCACCTCCCATAGCTCTTTAAGAAAGTGATGTGTTTTCATCAAACTTGCTAGGAAATCTCCCAAATAGTCAAAACGTTCTTGATAAAATATGGGTAAATTTGTGTCATGTTTCTTTATATAAATGATACAAGCGACACGACCATTGTGAGTCCAGAGCTCACCGGAGTCAATTACATAAGAGTACTTGGAAAGCACATCGACGACCTCAGAGAAAATGTTGGGGCGATCAAGGAAACAAAGTTCAAGGGCAATGACAGCAAAATGATTAAAATTCACTATCATCCCATGACTGATTTTTACATACGGTGGGTCAGAAGCTCCATCTTTTTTTTGGGTAATATTGAGAGAATGTTGTATGTAGCATATAAGGGTGGGCTCATTGAGTTTATGACCATGTTGATTAGTGACATGGAAGACATGCATGAACCAATCGCCATGAGATGAAATATTTGATTTGGAGATGATAAGATCCAAATCACTTAGAATTTGAACTATTTTGAGAAGAATGTTGTGCATTTTTGCACCATTGATCTGCATTCAATCAAAACAAAGAAAAAAAGTATTTAGTTTTTATAAATAACTATAAATATGTTGTGTGGCAAGATAATGAAAATTATTTTACTGATAAAAGACAAATTGAAATACCTTGATAAGAGTAACATCTTCGGACGTTTCATTATCAATACAAACCCTACAACAATAATTCGTATTTTTTTTAAGTTTTATTTAATTAAAATAAAAGAGAGTAGAGAATCATATCATGTACATACATTAGAGAAAACTTACTCGAGTGGAGGGATGTATTCTGAGGGATGCACAAAGTCAGGCTCGAAGTAAGGATAACCATGAACCATTGTTATCTCTGCCAAGAAAAAAATGCACCGCAGAAATATAATAGAATTTTTTTTTATAGAATTAAAAGGAATTCCAAAATTAATCATGGATGAGTTTTATTAATACAAAAAGAGATATTTTTTTCTCAATTTAATCATAATGAACAAATCATTATGATAAATTTATAAATGCACAACAGAGCTTCATTAGTAATCTATTCAATCAAATCACATACATTCTTGTTGAATAACAAATACTCATACAACAATGGAGAAGTATTTCCATCCATTAAATTAATTTATTTTGTAAAACAATTTTTATGGTATGATATTGGTCAAATTTGTTTAAAGTTTTGCCTATATAGAACATATTTTATAAAAGAAGTATTCAAATTAAAACAACAAGTTATTTTGCCATAACATTTTGAATATGGTTACATTCAATTCATAAAAACTAAAATTGGAAGACTTTATTGCATCCACATTTTCTCAAAGAAAATTTAAGAGCAATATTTATATAAAAAATACATTATTTTCCTGCGGATCACCACACCTGCTCTCATTCATAGGGATGTATATGTGCAAATAGATAGAATATATATATATATATATATATATAAAAGATTAATCGTCGGTCGGACCCACCTTCATGTTTGTGTGTATTTGAATTCTCCATATGATGAACCGTAGCAGCAAAAACAAGGGCACCTATTCAAGGCACTAATCCAACTAAAACCATTCTAACCCCGAGTCATAAGTATTAAAAACACTTTAATCCTCATTAAATAATCCTAATCAAACCTTAAGATCAACTTAACACCTTAATCAATTTAAATAATTTATAAACCCCTTTATTTATCTGTTACACCTCTAATTAACCCACTAAAAGATTAACTCATTAAAACATTAATTAATCTACTCATAATGTAATAAACCAAAAAAATATTAATTAACTCAATTGATTAACTAATTAACTCATAAATACATTATTTAAATTAATGAAAACACTTAATTAATCCAAAAATAAATTAATTGATTCAAAAGTACATTAATTACTACTTTAAATAATTAAATAATCTATCAAATAGTGAATCAAATCTATTAAAATAAAAAAAAACTTCAATTCTTTAATAAGAATATTAATAACACACTTAAGAGTTTAACTCATTAATTATATTAATCATTAAACAATAAATACATTAATCAAAGCATAATTAACGAAGTGAATAAATATTTAATTAAGCTTATTCCAATTTTAATTGAATCATAAAATTTTTATTCAACAACCCATAGAGATATTTTAATTTCAATTTTTTAATTCAAAATCTTAAAATAAGCTTTACAAAACAATGAATGAAATGAATAACTAAAGAATGCACCACATGATTAATCAAAATAATTTAACCCGTTTTTTCTCAATTAATATGTAATAATATTATAACTAATATAATCATTACAAGTAATGGAAACAAAATAAGGGAAATAGATTAATAGCAAAAGATGATAGAAAGACTTGCAAATCTGCAATACTTGGATTTAGGGGCTGAATCACAAAAGAAAAATTCACTAAGAGCTTAAATTAATCATTTTTAAAAATTCAGAATAAATGTGATTTAAAAATTCAATATAAACTGCAATTATAAATATAATTTAGTTTAAATAAAATATGATTAAAATTAATTTAAAATTACAATATTTTCCTATATTACAAATTAATAAAAAATAACATAATATCATTTAAAGAAATAATTATGCATTATTGGATAAGGTGTGAAGTTCTTTTTTCTAAACAAGAGAGCATTTTAATGTTCTAATAACAAATTTATGTTTTTGAAAATATAAATTTGAGAGAAAACATAAAAAGTAATGAAAAATATTAACACTCCAATTAAGGGATGAAAGAAAAAAAAAATAATAATAATAATTTGAAGTAGCAATCAAATAAACAAAAGGCTCTGTATCAATTAGGTACACAATGAATTTGAATCAAAGTTGTTATATATAAACATTTGATAAATAGTTTTATACTAATGAATCTTTTTCTTATTTCAAAATTAACTATTCGACCAATTTTGACTCTACAGATTGATTATATATATATATATATCTAAACATCTAATTTAATTTAAGATATTAAATTTCAATGTCATAAAACAATAAATAAAGTAAAACAGTTATTCATCAAGAAGTCAAGAAAAAAAAATCTGAGCAGTGAAACTTTTTTTTTTTTGTTGCAAAAAAATAAAAAAAATAAAATAAAATTTGAATTCAAAAAAGAATAAAAAGTGGAAAACATAAATGCAAATGGAAAAATATAAGGGATCAGAAACTCAAATTAAAAAAAGGAATAAATAATAATAACCTGAAGGAAAATAGAAAGCCTTCTAAATTTTGGAGAAGGAAAGGCTAGTGGTGGGGAAGTGGGGCCCGGCTGGTTTAATTGAACCCTACTCTTCTTCTGGCCTAAAGTGTTAGCTCTGTGTACGTGAAGTGTAAAGTAAGATAACGGACTCTGTTAGTTATAGATTAAATAATTAATTTAATTTTTTACGGTAATTTCGATTCCGCCCAAATTTCTCGCTGTCCGTTTCATAAAATGCGATTTCTGTTTGGGGATTTCTTTTATATATATATATTTTTAAAAGCGGACTTCATTTTTATTATTTTTTCAATAGTATTTCAAATTTTTAGTTAGGTTATTACTGAATACAGGCTGCAGGTCGAACCTCGCGGTCCACCTGCGGGCTGCGTGTCAGGATTAGCTGTTTATTTGGACAAGCACAAGTTGCCCCAAACACAGTCTAAATTTAACCATTTTTTTCTCTTTTTTTTAATAAACAAAATATCTACATCTATATGAATAATATTAGAATTATCGTTATTATTTCTTATATCGAAATATATTTAGTGTATATATATATATATATATATATATAT